CCTTTGCATTCCTCCATTTGCTTTTGGCGTTCTTGACTTGCTGGCTTCCTGTATTTTCAGTTCGTCTCATTCGGGCTCGTTGCTGCTGGCTCGCCTGCCCGAACTGTATGTTTGGTTTCATCAGCTTGATTCGGCTCTGTTTTCCTTCATTTAACTTGTGTTTGCCTTTTCCCTTTGTTCAGCGTTGACGGCTAAAATTCGGCGCCTGCGCAGTTCAGGGATTCCGCACCATCCAGTGTGGGACAGAGTGAGGCTGCGTATTGGGATATGTTGTATCTGCTTTTCTTGAGTAGCTTCATTGCACATATATGTGCATATGCATTTTTAAGCGTATATATATATATCTACATATAATTAGTTTGGTCACTTGGTTGTGCATGACTGTGTTTGCCTTGTTTTGCTGTCTTCGCTTTCTTCGCCTGTGTGGTTTCTCCGTTCATTTGACTTGTTTGTATGCTCATGACAATGCTTTCGCTCGTTTGAACAGTGTATCTCTTCGTGTTGGTTTTTCTCCTGCTTGGTTGGGCTCTGTAATTTCGAGACTATTCTTCAAGCATTGGGCTTAAGTTTTGTTATTTGCAGATTGTTTTCGATAAGTTCAAAGACCTTATGGGAGGCCGCGTGCGGATTATGCTAACGGGATCGGCCCCCCTCGATCCCCACACCCTGGAGCGAATGCGCGCCTTTTTCTGCTGTTGGATTGTAGAGGTTGGTGCCTCCGCCTGCACGTTTCTTTCTTTCCTTGTTTCCTACGTCTGAATAGAGATAGCAAGGGATTCGAAGTTCCAAGCGAAACGCAACGATATTTACTTACCCAGACCGTTAGACTATGCCTTTGCGTTTCTTGCGTCTGCGCTGTTTCCCACAGTCAGATACGGTGCTTCTGTATTTGCTTTTTTCTGTGTATATCCTTTTTTGATAGATGGCTTGTGTATACGGCGAGTGTACGGGTGTGCATTTGCTTATTTATGGTGTATCTACTTCCGTTAACCAATAAAGTGCAACCCCACGGGTAGCGCAGGCAGTAGTGTGCTTCTAAATTGCTGAGTCTCAGTGTCTCTATGAGTGGAATTGCGCCGGGTGAATTTCTGTCCATGAGCCGCGCCTCAGGACATTGGTCGTGTGTGTATTATTGTTGATAAATTATTCACTACGGCTACCAACCTACACGTGCTCGTATTTGTATGGCCTTATAGTGCGGCCGGGACTCCGGGACTGCGGGTGGTTTTTCTTGCACAAGGATTCTCTGATTTCGCTTATTGTTGCTGCAAGTTGAATTGTGCCTGCGTATTAGGGCTATGGCATGACGGAGACGATGGGCGCCTCATTTCTGACTTGGAACGTTTACGATAGAAACCCGGGACAAGTGGGGGGAGTGTTGCCTTCTTTAGAGTTTTGTTTGTTGGATGTAAGTGAGACGATGAGCAAATACTCGATCCGGGATCCGATCCCCAAGGGCGAGCTCTGTGTCCGAGGCCCCACTGTCTTCGCGGGGTACTTCCGCAATAAGACCGAGACAGAAAAAGCCATGGATAAGGACGGCTGGTTTCGTACAGGAGACGTTGTTGCGTTGTTGCCCAATGGAGGCGTGCAAATCATTGACAGGAAAAAGAATATCTTCAAGCTTGCGCAGGTCCGTCTCGTTTGTGTTTGAACAAGTTGTCCTTACGCATTCTCCTTTACGCTCTTCTTCGTTTGTTTCACATTGCAAAGAAGCTGTGCCATTCTCATTGTTCGTATGGCTAGCGAAGGAAATGTGTTCACATCGTTGCGGCAAAGGATATTGTTTGTCGTTGCTTCGTTGCGTGTAGTGATATATTGAGCTTCTATATTTACCGTTCTTCCATTTGGGGTGACCTAGGTGCCTACTCAAGTCGCATCAGCAGGCACAGGTGGCTTTCATTCTGGGCATGCAATCTGTGTCGTGATTCTATTGTTTATATGTTTCTGTTCCCCAAATGGCCAGCACAGTGTGCCTTGCTGTTTGGGGCCTGTTTCTCGGTCCGTTATCTTGCGTTTCTGTTTTTCATCTGTCTTTGGTTTTGCCTGTGCTTTTTCTGACGTTCTTCATGTTTCCCAAAATATCTTGGTTTTTTGCTGTCTCCCTCCTGTGTCTTTTGGCGTTTTGTTGCATGAAAGGTGTGCATTTGCTGCTCGTTGCTTTGCAGCTGTGAAGCTGTGGCTTGCCATTCTTGGCTTTCTCTGCCTGCACGTGTTTGTTCGTATGCTTGCACCACGAACTTTTAGGCAAGGCTGCCATATTTCGCTTGTGTGCACTTTGTCAATGGTTTGTTTTTGTTACATCCACCTTGTGTCCTACTAGTTTTCAACTCGCACTGGAGGTCGAACGGAAATAAAGGAGAAACGCAATACATCAACTTCGCTTGTGGTACATTTTGGGTGCATCCACAGTTGAAAATATGCCGACTTCTGCTTTTTTTTCTTCAATATGCAGGGTGAATACGTCGCCCCTGAGAAGATCGAGGCAGTGTACCTGCACAGCCGATTTGTGGCTCAGTGTTTTGTCTTTGGATTTTCGTCGGAGGTACGTACACTGTACGAAGTTAAGTGCATCTAGCTTACCTTAGCCAAACCATGCAAAATGTACGCCTCCTAAGGCTACGCGCATGCATGCATATTGATGTAGGTTGGTAGGCACCTGCGCCAGGAAAGACAGTTAGGTCATGTTTTGATCCACATTCCAGCGTGTAAATGTGCTCTGAATTGTTGATGCATATGGCTTCTGGAGGAGCAGTGAGTCTATGCTGTAAAAGAAGCTGGATAGGTTTCTATGCTGTTGTGTGTATGCCTCCGTGACGAGTCCGTGTTCAGTTTTGCGGTTTCTCTGTCGAGTTTTCGTCTCCCGCCCTCTGCAGTTTATTTGTATATCGCTTGCTCCATTGTATTTTGGTTCTCCGTCGCTTCGGGTTTCTTTGTGGCGACTGGTGCAGTGGTTGCTGCGTTGTATTCGGGTGTTCCGTCCTTGTTTCCTTGTTTGTACCAGACTTCGTTGGTAGCTGTGGTGGTGGCCGACCCTGACCAGACGCTACAGTGGGTGCGGGAGACGCGAGGAGCTGCAGCAGCAGAGGCCCACACTTTCGCGGAGTGGCTGGAAGACCCGGAGGTGCAGCGAGTGATACAAGAAGACATGCAGCAGGTGGCTAAGAAGCAAGGCCTGAAGGGCTTTGAACTTGCACGAAAGGTTTACTTCCGTGCTGAACAATTTACCGTAGAGAACGGACTCCTCACCCCCACCTTCAAACTCAAAAGGCATTACGCACAAGAGGTGAGCTGTGCAGTGACAAACACGCATGGAGATGTAGTGGAAAATTTGGAGTGGCAGTCTACGCACATTCGTCTGTAACGGTGGCCGGTACAGACAAAATGCAGACAGTTCCAGGTGTAACAGACCGGTAGAGACGTTTCGCACCTGAACGCCTCTGCTGCAGACAAATACATTCACGGAACGAACACACATATGCAGTACACATGCAGCACACCCAGATTGAGCTGTAAAACGGAGATTCCGAAATACGTTGTTAAAGGCAAATGCAGATTATGAAAACAGGCATGCACAGCCTACGGACAGATGTGGAACATAATGTAGTAATAGAGAATGGCGCAGGAAACAGCTTCATCTTTGCAAACAACTTCGCAAACGGTAGAAAACGAACAGTAATACGAACGGACCCAAATGTAGTACAGACAAGTTGCGGTACACCACAGATACAGGCAAATATGAACAGATGCGGCTAACATTGGGCATTCCAGTTAATCAGCTAGCATGTGCACGTGCACAG